ATAACCATGCAGATCATAATAATGAACCAAAGACGGTTTTCTGTCTACTTCTTTTATCTCAATAGCTCATGAATATCTCACCTCTCATATGATGAAACGTGTCCACCAAGTCACCAACAAACAACTTTTTATTTGTTTTTCATTAACACTCGACATTTAATATTTGTTTTTTATTTTCAATGAAAGCTCAATATAAGTACACCTTCTTTATTTATTAAATTAAATTAAATTATTTATTTTCAATCTCTTCTAATCTTAAATTGCAGGAACGAAGTAGGGTAGAGAGAGAAAGCTTCGACAACTTCTTTCTCCAACTCTCTTTGTTGTTCTTTACTCTTTCACTTCTTCTGTTTTAATTATTAAAACTCTTCCGATTCTTCAGCTTTCCTCTAATCAAAAGGTGCATGCCTTGTACACCAAAACACACAAACACATTCACTCTTCCTTTTTCACAAAATCCTCATTTTCTTCTCTCTTATTAGCTGTGTGCCGCCACTGTTATATGCACCTCCACCATCGCCACCGCAGCAACAACGGCCTGGGTTTTCAACTCCTCTCACTTGTTTTTTCTCCTCTTCTTCGAGTTGGATTCTCTCTTCTTCTAGTGTATTATTTTTGTGGGTTGATTAGCCTCATGTCTTTAATTGAATATTGTAAAAGGGATTTGAATCTGAGAACTTAGGAAACAAAACCGGTTGGGCCGATGTGTTGCTACAGTAACACCGGTCCAACCGCGGATCAGAACGAGTTAATTCTTATTTCCGGTTTTTTACCCTGACCGGCCCGAGTAATCCACCGATTTTCGGTCGGACCGGTTAAACCGGGTTTAAAAACGTTTATTAAAGTACAAAACTAAAGAGAACTATGAAGTACAATGAGAATATTCCATTTTATGATATTTAGCTTTATGCGTTTATAGTAGGCTAACAGTAAGCCCCATCAACCCTTTATTCTTTCTCTTTTGTTATGCTTAAAATCCAAAGAAAATCTTCCAAATCTCCAGCAAGAATTTTGACAATAATGTAACAAAGCATAAAGGTTTATTTTTCTATATATTGCTTAACCATTTCCATAATAACATGCTGAACTATTAACGCTGCTTTCTATTTATCAAGATATACCAACAAGAGTGAAAAAAACTCAACCATGGCACAGCGGCTTGTAGTCTTCGAAGTTGTTTCATTTGCTTTCTGTCTGTTAACTAGCCTAGCCATGACCCTCAAGGTATGTAACTACGAAGAAGAAAATGCTAATTAATATTGATAATCTTTCTTTTGTTGGGTGATTATTTATGTAGTTATTTCTCTACGGTTTCAGTCAGGAACTTGCAGCTGCAAGAAATCAACACAAGCTAAAAATCCCACCAAGAAATGCTAAGATGATCTTCGCTGCTCTCACACCATGACCATAAATTTCCAAAGAAAAGCACTAGAGGACCTTGAGAGTTCAAGCTCACTCTTGGCAATAGGCATGGCATAGTTAAGAGTTTATTTGCAAACGAGATTGTTATCAATGTGATCTAATCTATATGTACTTTACTGTCTACATCCACTAATTCATACTAAGGAGGTTCTTTACTTGCCGTCTCTTGAGACGACGCTTCAAGCATGAAAAAGTTATCTCCTCATTTTGCATCACAACCTTAGTTGCAATTTCCTATTGTTCTTAGTTTTGAAGCAGAAATATGAAAAGGGAAGTCATAACACATTCTAGGCTAGGATTTTTCTTAATTTTTTTCCACAAGCACCTATAGAATAAGTCGGCTTAACCTACAAGCTCGGGCAACCCCTAAAAGAAAAGAAAAGAAAATGCCACTGGTACACTTCACTCTCTACAGATTAAACAGGAGCGTATGAAAGAAATTGCACAGAGAAATTTACAATCCCTAGCAGTGAGAAACTGCCACCCGCTTTGTCTCTATTTCCTTCACACTTTCAACTATGTCATCAATGTTCCTTGAAAGGTGATGGGAATGATCCTCCATATCTCTCAAAACCATTTCAAGCTGCTCTTGGTAAGCTGCAGATCGCTTCCGTTCCCGCTGTAACTCAGCAGTCAACTCTCGTATCTTTATATCTTTCTCGTCCTGCAAAATGAAAATCCCAAAGAGAAAAGTAAAAGAAGCATGGTCAATTTTACTGATAACTTTAGAAGATGAAAAGTTCTCACTTTAGTAATAAACATTTTATGATTGAACAATTTATATAAATAATTTGACAAGTCAATAAGCAATCTAGACAGGCATTTATTAGAAGTGATTTCTCTTTTAGCCTCAACGAGACTGAATTGACATATGAAAAAACAAACTCATCACATAAAAGGCAGTACATAGTTGCAAAACATACAATTCCCAAAAGGAACACCAAAATAAAGTCTGCAAGTTACGTGGCCCTGCAATTTGAGATCATGTATGAAGGATATGGTGACATTTCATGTTTTGCTCATACATGACAAATCTATAAAAGCACCATCCAATCTCAAGTGAGACAGTCAACAGTAAAAATTTTTCAAACTCGCACATTGAATTAAAAGAAAAAAAAAAAAAATTGGTCTATTTAAGATTGCAGATCTTCAAAAATTAACTTTAATGTGAAATACCTCTTTCAACTGTGATAGATTTTGCTTATACATGAGAAATCAGTTTGACCAGTCTCAGATGAGAAATTCTGTAAAATCATCTTCAAAGCTGATTTTTTGATGGCATACGAAAGATAGAATGGGATATCAGAACATCAGAATTATTTTCAACACGAAACATCCCGTTTCATGCCGAAGAGGCTTGAACAGGATAGTAACTCAGATTTTTTTCAGTTCTAACACAAAAAAGAGACTCAAGGAAATATTGTATACACTAGTTTTAATTATTTGGGATGTAAAGAAACAAATATAACTAGCAAGATGTTTTGCCAAAGGAAAATTTTGAAATTTAGCACATTTGATTCACTTAACTAGCAAAGGAACATTTTTGCGCAAATTTGAAACAGGATTTTTATTTTTAGCATTTAAGATTTTGGAATAAGAGATATGTTTTTCATTTTGTATAGATTTTAGTACCTTTGGGTTTTCGGGACAGCTTGTCCATTCATGTATACTTTATATTTTTATAGAGAATCTTTGTTTCCAAGCAAAAATTAAAACAAAAAAATATTGAACTTTAGCAAAAGATCAAAATAGCAACAAACAAACAGATGGTGACCTTTCTTAGCACAGGCAGATCCAGCAAACTACTACTTTCTATCAGAAGAGCATCTTATAAGAACTAACTTTTCCAATGAGTATAATAGTATAAACTTCATACCAAGAATTTGATAAACATATCCATACACCGGGAAAAAATTGCATAATGGAAATAACAAAAACAAAAAACACACTAATTTATAAGCATAATGCATCCAGATGTTTGCAAAGAAACCTAAATTTGAGATCAGTCTTATTTAAAAAATTCAACCCTAAAATACAGTGATGTAAAGTTAAGACTTGCAAGAACACTCACCGGAGTTTGAGATAGAAGCACACTCCGACGACCATTGACAGGTATAGTGACCAATGGGTGGTTATGCTCCTTTACAAATCTTGTTACAACCCATTTCCCTGATTTTTCTTTCTTCACTACGATCATCGCTTTACAGCCTTCTCTGGTAATAGCTCGAGGCTTCCTATTCTCACTTCTTCTAGGCCTTAACTTTCGAAAACCCTCTTTATTACACACAAGTCGACGCCAAACTACCTTGCCATCACGCATTGATCGGCGAAACGCATCAACACGCATAATGAACCCCAATCGTGTGGCATACGCATCATAAAACACCTTCGCGGACTCCTCAGATTCAAACTCCATACCCACATATGGTTCCACATCCAAACTTCCTTCGGCTGTAACTACCTCTTTCCCATCAGAATTCTCTATCATTTCCCCATTCTCTCCTGCAGAAGGGTTTTCATCCACTGCCAGAAAACACAACTAACCCTCAACAAAATTCTACTCACATATATACACAAGATTAGAAAACAACCCTAAACCCCATTTAACAAAAGAAATATGAATATAACAATAATTGAAAAAGAAGAAAACTTTCCATAGATTTTTGTTCTTAACATATCCTAGATTAGTCTCCCAAAATTCTCATATATTCTCCTAGAGTATCAGTTTGGAGCTCTGCACCTTCTATGACTATAAACTAAACAAAGATATGAAATTTAACAGAAATTTATGGTGACAAAAATAGAAGAATAAAATTGAAAATTGGAAATGGAAAATGTAAAATGGCTCACTTGTTAGGTAAAGTGCAGATCCAAGTCCAAATCCAGCGTTGAGACAGAAACTGAGTGATTGGGTTCAGAACAAGTCTTCAGTTCGAGTTTGAGACAGAGAGAGAGAGAGAGTTGGGAACTGGAAACTGGAAACTGAAAGTACAACTAAATTGGGCCTGGGTGAGGAATAATTTGCTACACTCCTCGAAAGCTGCACTCTCTGCGTATCAACACTAAGATGTTGCCAACTCAGCGTTTAAAGTAGTATAGCTTTTGCTTGCTGATTAAGGGTGATCAAGAAAATAATATTACCATAAATAGATCAATTGAGAGTCAGTTTATATCTTAATCAATTAAAATTATTTTCAAGAAGATAAAATAAATAAATAAAAAAGTATATCTATACTAATATTTATATAACCTTCGCATATCCTATTAAAACATACGTCGTAAATCATAATTTATTAATCATTTACCAATGCAAATATTTTGAAATACTTTATGTGCAGATTAAATATAAACGTTCATGATTTATTTTATAAATTTAATAATTAAAAATAAGTATTCAAATACTCACTTTTGAATTTTGATTTATATATTAAAAAATTTCATTATAATTAAAAAATAGTAAACTAAAAAAAAGTTAAATTTTAATATTACATATAATCATTTGTGGTGATGAAAGTGATAAACACTTGAGTCTAAGCACATATACGTAAGAGTAAGTGAAGTAGTGTATGTGTGTGTTTGAAGTTCAACTGGACGGCGAAACTTGTCATTTCACTTGGACCCTCAAACTTCTTGTCTTTGTATGCGCATGAAACCTGCAGATTTTGGTGGGTTTGTGTTCCCAGTCTCCTTGATTCTGATTCAGTAAGTCTTTAGATCCTCCTTTCTTATCTCTTATTTGCTTCTAAATATTCTATCTTTTATTCCTTTTTGAATGAGGTTGAATCTAATGCTTCTTATTCAAGGAGCAGTCTTGTCTAGCATTTCTGAAATGAAATTTCTGAGGATGAATTGTCACTTCAAGTATGCACAAAGGCTGTATTTTTGGCATTAAAGTTACAAACTTTAATAATGACTGTAAGATTTTTAATAAGGAACTGTGTTTGAAAAAGTGGGTTTGGTTTTGCCAGGAGTTTAAAGCTTTGTGCATGTGATATTCTATTGAATATATGTACCTGTGATGTTCTGTGAATGGGTGATATTTTTGTTTTAGCGACTTATTCATAGATTGAGTTTAGTTGTGGATGGTTTTTGTTTGCTGGGTTTTGACCTTAGTCTGTGTTGATCAGAAATTCACACTGGTCATTATTAAGTTTCATTGTTGTATTTAACCTTCGTGTGTTACGAATCCGTAGGTGGAACACTTTGGAATTAGTGCTTTCCTTTTAATTTCTTTCTGTTTTGGATTATCATAAGGCTATATAATGTTTCATATAGAGGGACTGCTGTTTAATGTTTCATATCAGTTTTTAATTTTGGGACTTTGCTTATTGGTGCAAACTATGTATGTGGTTCTCAAGTTTGACCTAGTGTTTCCCCGTAGTAACCTATGCTTTCTAGTTTCAAGAGTTGGTTTGACATGTTTTGGTTTCTGCTTAATCTTTAGTTTCTCATTATATTGTTTATTGGACTTGAAAATGCATTCACCATTAATTCATCATTTTTTGTTCTACTTTTTAGGTAATTTTCTGCTATATTAACAATTGGGATTGGGATCCAAATTGGATAATATGTGTTTGATCCATATTTAAGATTAAATTATACCTCTAAGGTGGTTGAATGGCTTATGTTGTTCTATGTGCTTTGTAAAGCTTGCCTATGTGGCTTAACGGCTCAACTTAAAATGCAATCAGTCACACACTATAACTGGAGAAAATTTTTGCCTAATGGTGCCACTTGACCTATTATAACTTACGTGGCCTTGTGTTTGAGAATTGCAGATCTTAGTTTAGGTTTCAAGGCTCTTCTTTTCCAAAAGAAAATAGCTTTAACACTAATTGTATGATATGATAAGATTAATTTCTCTAGTTAGTATTACTTAATAAATTTAATAATTTGGATGCCATATTAAATTTCTGCATTGTATTAAGACAGAATTTTTATGTGTTAAAGTTATATGTCAAATGGTTTTGTTTTACAGTGGAATTGGACACAGAAGTTGCAGTAGGAGACAGCTCTGTTATAGAAAAGTCCGGTGAACTAGAAGGTGGTGAAATTCTAGAGCCATATGTTGGTATGGAATTTGAATCGGAAGATGATGCCAGGAAATTCTATACAGTGTATGCCAGACGGGTAGGATTTGTAGTGCGTATTATGCAACGTCGTCGTTCTGGGATTGATGGGAGAACACTTGCTCGTAGACTTGGGTGTAACAAGCAGGGTTTCTCTCCTACTCACAAGGGTGCACTTGGACCTGAAAAGAAGCCAAGACCAAGTGCACGAGAAGGTTGCAAAGCAACAATATTGGTGAAGATGGAAAAGTCTGGAAAATGGGTTGTTACAAGATTTGTAAAGGATCATAATCATCCTCTGGTTGTCACTGCCGATGGATACAGTACAGTGGTGAGTTTCTATCTTTTTCTACTTCTATCTATGAAGTTGGAGTGTCTTTGAATCTTGTTTTGTCATCATAGTTCAAATATTAAGATTATTGAGTTTCTTAATCTGTTGTTTTCCATCTGCTTGTTGAAACTGACTAAAAATTTATAATCTAGGGCTCCCCTCCAAAAATACTTTGTTATATGATGAATGTGACAGTGGTTTCACCTATCATTTATTTGCATAACATCCTTAGCCTGTTAACAATGCTGGGACTCTTTATTTAATTATTTGCATACTCGATGTATAAATTTGAACTTGCTGTAGGTTCTCAGAATAGCTTTCAGTTTCTCAACATGTGAGAGATAGCTGTAAATTCAAGAAGTTGAAGGAAAGAAGGAAAAGAATAAGGTATATTTTGTTGAGCAGATCGGTTGGACATTATTTAGCTTGTTAAAATGGTGCCAACTGCATTACAATGGTATCAGTTGGAGAAACCAAGTCCAGGTAGATTCTTGCATGTCATCAGTGGCAAGAGTCATTAGAAAGAGGACTTGAAACTTGAAAGGGGAATGTAATCTTTCCAGTAAATCAATCTATTGATTTGGGATGCCTTAGATCCAAAATTAGTTTTGACAATATACACCTACATTTATGTAGTATATGTTAAATTTGTTTGATGTTTTGTATTTGGACTCAGCTGTCTCTGAAAATTTTTACAGGGTGACAAAGACAAGAAAATCGAAGAACTTACTCGGGAGTTGGAGCGTCAAGACCAACTATGTGCAGCATACCGAGAAAAGTTACTCACTTTTATGAATAACGTTGAGGAGCAAACGGAAGAGCTGTCCTCAAACATCCAAGTTATTGTTGACAATATCAGGAAAGTTGAATCTGAAGTGCTGAAACTTTCCCATCATAGCCATAGATAACATTGCCATTCATTGAATCTGAGGGTTTACTTAGGAGCAAGATTTGTGAATAAGTTTATGAGACCTGTCATGTACATTACTTACTAGAATCAGTTTCTTTAACTCCAGATGGTTGATTACTTGATATTTAATATGGTGTAAGCTATTTAAAATTGGTTTATTAGATGGAATGGAAGCTTGTGTAAAAGCTAAAGCATTTTTTTTTTTTTTTTTTTCTTGTTTTCTTATTGCCTGAACATTTTCCGATGCCAACATCTACAAATTTTTTTTTTTTACTTATGTCGGCTAACAAAATTTTTGCAGTATTTGATGTCTAAAAATTTAGTTGAAATTTTATCTTTTAACATTAGTTTACTGCTGGTAACTAATATGTTAGTACTGCGCTGGAGACTTTGTTTCTGCAAAATTACCGATGGAATCTACAAAAAGAGCAAAATTGTTTACTACAAACAAATAATTTGGGTTCTCTTTAGCATTATTAAGCATGAACGCTTAGAATAATTTGTATCACAATAAGTAATGAACACAAGAACAAATCTGTCAAATAGAATTGAAACCTCTCCTTATTCACTATTTAAGCATTGGAGAAGGAGAAAAATCATCTCCAAAATTGTTTATTACAAATGAATATCAGCACAGAGACAAACGGCCAAGAAAGCCGTTATCTTTTATCACAAGTAGATACAACTTTTTTCAAGTATCAATAATCAAACAAGCATCTATTTCTAAACGTTTTATCAGAAATGATAAAACTATGCATCGACCTTCTAAGACTCTAATGACTGACTAACCAGTGGAAAATAAAAATTCAACTGAGGTACATGAAAAGATGGAAATTCAAATCCGTGGAAGACTGCCAACAACTACAGTCCTAGAATATACCTTCACATCAGATTCTGTTAATACTCATATAAACAATTTTTTGTACAAAGCTCGTCTCCGAAACAAGCCCAGGAACAACAAGATGACTCAACCCTAACTTCTTTACATTGACAGTATGGAGGTTTCAGCCTTGTGCTGGGATACCTCATCACTTGTGTGACACAAGCTCAACTTTATGCTAGAGCATTTAACTTTTTATCAATAAGCTCAAGTCAAGCTTCAACCGGCTACAATCATCATAATATATAGAGCATAGGTTCTCACATGCTAACAGCCGGACTATTGATTTTGAGTAAGTCTTTGAACATTGTTCTCGAATTCTTTTACACTATTAACAACTACTTCAACTTTCCTTGATAAAAGTTCTGTTTGCTCATCAACATTATTCAAGAACCCGATTAGCATGCCCCGATATAATTCACATAATTGATCTTGATGCTCCAGCTCCATAGTGAGTTCCTGAATCCTCCTATCTTTAATATCCTACAAAAAGCAAATGCAAAAACATATTAATTTCAAGATCAAAATATTATAATAAAAAGGTATAAATAGATCCTTAAATATACAGCACAATCAAAGCATATCTCCTTCTAGTCAATAAACTAATATTGCAGTGAGGCAGATTCCACAACTATATCCATCCCAGCAGAAAAGTTGAATATTCATAACTTCCAAATCATTGAAACATAATGTTGGGTGCATCTGTATACTTTTTTTGCGCTTTCATATGCTTGTTCTCTTCCTTGATAGATTTATGATCATTCTTTCATGATAATAAATTGGGAAAAATATTCTTAAGGAAGAAAGAGCATTTTATGACTGAAAGCGAGCTCTCGGTAATAATTAACAACTTTCCGTTTCATCATGCCAGAAAAGAATTAACATCTCAAAAGAAAAAGAAAGGAGACAGGGTAAACCCAATTATACAAAATATTAGCCTCATTGCTTGTGTTTGTGTTCCACATCCTATAGTAGCATAACAATTCCAAAGAGAATAGCATCCAACATGTTTATTTAAACTCAAGACTGCCATCAATCAGTAATTACTAAGACTATTTTCCAAGTAAAATCACTCAATTATTCTACCGAACGGCTCAATGCCACAGTAGCAACATCATTTATGCGATCCCTAATTTTCCAAAATGAAAAATTGTATCTAAATTTTATAGCGAACAGGATTTCCTGAAGTAACAAGATACACCAAATAACATCAATTTCCTCCACAATCACAAAATTTTGTTTCTTCATAAAAATTTAAAAAAAATAAAATAAAATAAAATTAGAACTAAAACTCTAATGAATGATCAGACAAAGTTCGAGCAATTAAATTTGAATAATACTAAACTTTCCAAATGATATCCCAAATTTCCTATCCCAAGTGATATGTCATATTTTGCGGTTTTGATGTGTAAATAAAGAGTTCAGGTAGCAAATGATAGTGTTAACAAGAAAAAAACCTCACCATATTATTAGAAGGAGGGATTGAAGAAACAACAAGAGGATGAGTATGATCTTTGACAAATCTGGTAACTACCCATTTCCCAGATTTATCAAACTTAACCAACATCATAGCTTTGCAACCTTCTCTCGTACTACTTCTCGGTTTCCTCACCGGTCCAAAAACCTCTCTTGCTTTTACATAAAACCCTTGTTTGTTACACGAAAGCCTTCGAGATAGTATCTTTTTATCAACCTCTGATCGACGGCACTGATCTATTCGCATTACGAACCCAACACGCCTCGCATACTCACCGTAGAACTCCTTTGCCGCTTCTTCTGACTCGAATTCCATCCCCACGAATGGTTCTGGCGCGTGCTCTTCAGGGTTGACTGAGTTGGTGTATGGATCCTCCATTGCTAGTTCATTTTGGAGAAGGAAACGAAAAGGGTTTGGAATTGAAGATGGGAAGTTCGTAAAATCGTTGAAAAAGTGAAGCATTAAAGTGAGTGGTTGTGGGTTTGACTTCGAAGTTCGGAGGAGCTTCGGTTCTGTGTTACGGTTGCTTTCTAATTAATGATGTCTTACAAATCAAACTAAACTACAAGTCGGTTAAATGTCTTTGAAATGAACGACAGACCGATGTATTACTACTTTAACCAAGTGATTGTCCTCCTTTGAAGTTTGCATGCGCCAAGACCAAATAAAGACTTTGATTTAGTGATTTCAGTCCGGTTTACTTCTGTTACGGGCCGAATGACGTGTTCCCACCTAAGGCTTGCCCTAGCGAGAATTTATTCCCCAAAAAGTTTGAAAACGACAATCACCCATCAACCATTAATTTTGTCCGTTAACTTGAGCCGAAGAAGGATAGGATGGTAACTTTTCTCTCAAACCCACCCATTGCCGGTAATTGCCTCCAGCCTTTTGACCTGCCTTTTGCTGGAATTCTCACTAATTTTGGCAAGAAGAACGTCCCTAGCCTTGATCTAAACCTTCACAAGCCCCATTTGACTGTTTTTTTTGTCACAATTGGCCGGATTCACTACCTTTGCACAACCCACTCCCATCGCACGCTTGCCATGTTCAGGCCAAATCGCCCTGAATTTGACGTCGTTGAGCAGCCCTACTGCCACCTACAGACTTCCCACAACCCCCATAATAAAACCTCTCTCTTTCCTGAATGATTCCACCCCCACCTCCAGCCGCCGCGCACAGTTGACTCGCACGATTTGAACCTTTTTCCAACTGATCCCTGCATCGACAACCCTAGCCACCACCACCCTTTGGCTCACCGACTTCTCCTACAAAACCCCTAACCTTCCCAGCCCCAAAAGCCCACCGTTCATCGTTTGCTACTCAACCTAGAGTCTGTTGCATTTTTCTAAAAGTGGCTGTTGAGGATTGTTTGTTTGATGAAATTGAAGTTTAGGGTTTGTTTGAGAGATTAATTGCAGTGTTTTTGTGATTGAATTTGGTCAGAAAACTAAATTTGGTTGGAAAACCCACATTCACCGTCGATCATCCTCCCAGCCCAGCTTACCCACCAACAGTTCATGAAAAATCCCCAGCCAACCCATCTGTCTCCCTGCATGTTGTAGCTCCTGTTTGCTTGGGAGTTGCAATATGCAATTTTGGCCAAATCTCGCCTGACCAGGTACGATTTTGACCAAATTGCTTACTATCAGCGCGATTCCAACCACCTGAATAAGATGTGGGATTTGTATTCAAAGAGGAAAGGGTATTTTTGTCTTTATAGTTACTGTACCATGTTAGATAACAGATTTTATTAACAAATCTTAACAACGAGTGGGTAATTTTCGAACATATATTAATGGTTAGTGGGTAATTAGTTACAGTAGGAGCCCTATAGCCAATCAATTATTATACAATTAACTCTTTGTAATAATGTTTCATTATTTATCAATAAAAGACATATTCTTTTATATCATATAAATCATAATTGTGTGTATTGATATATGTCCTTAAGACGGTAGAATCGTGACGAGGGTATCAAGTGTTTCAAATCTTGATAGTGAGAACCTTATGATCATATATGGTAGCCATTCTAGAAATGTTTGTAACCCTAGTATTATTCTGACCAAGGATACAGATAATATAGTAAGGTTATCATAGTATTGAATGACTTTGTCGAAAGACAATGACTAATCTCACATGTCAAGGTTATTTGCTGATAACCTGGTGCAACACATGGGTGCTTGTTGTAGGCAAGTTCACTAGACAGACCCACCAAAGGATCCATATGGATGGTAACCTAGTGTCTATAAAATAAATCTTCCAACGAATGATGGTGTATGTGATCCTTAGACTTGAGATCACTAGAGCGCCTTGTGCACCGATTAATGTATTTTGACACTAGCCCAATGTAGTTCTATTCAGAACTATCAGAGCGGTAGTGATTGGCTACATCGAGGAGTGTATCAAGACTATGGTGGATCGACAAAAGATTCATCGCTCCCGCGTACGAGAGAAGTTATCTCACTGCGCAATTCAGTAAATGACAATGACACTAAATCTGTGGCCACAGTGGGATTGAGTTGTTGCTCAATCCAATTTATAATTCCGGTCATTGGTCTAGTAACTGAATACAAAGATATCGAGGATATCTGAGGTTGACACTATTTATGTACCTCAGCCTTGATGGGATAACGAATGAAGAAATGATTTGATTGCACAGTAACCATATCGTTGATAGGTATCTATTTCGCTAAATCCGAATCAATCGGGTGACCATGATGCTTTGCTAGGGGCCAATCGTGGTCTGTGTGTAAAACGATTAATTGGCGTTAATCGCGATATTGCTCACTGCCGATATGATAAAGAGCCTACGGGTCATACACTTAGAAGATAATTTAAGAATCAATTTGTGAAAGAGTTATTTTCATCTTTTAAGACGAAAGAGTATTTTGGTAATCTCACAGTGCAATTAAATTTGTTAAAGTTGTTACCTGTATTTAATTTTAATACTAAAATTAAAATTAGTAAGATTATATTTAAATATATGTGCACATATATTTAAGTGGATTGTTGTTATTATTTAATGTTAATGCATTTTAATATATTAATTGATTTTAATAATTATTATTATTATTCTTTAAAATTAAATAACCATAAAAGGGGTGTTTGGTTACAAGGATGGATTAACATGAGAATCCATGACTATTCCTAATAGGATTACGGTTTTAATTAAGTGACACTATGTAAGTGAAATTTAAATTAAAACAAAATAATTCATTCATTCATTGAATTAAAAACAAAACCCTAGCCACCCTCATTCTCTTTCTCAAGTTTTTGCCTTGAGTGAATCAAGGAATTTTTACTTGATTCTTGAAGCCTTCAACTTGTTCTAGCAAAACAATTATCGGTTCTCCAGATTGTCTTCATATAGACAACGTAAGTGCGATTCTACATTGAATCGGGAAGCGAGATCAAATCAGAGATATTTGAAGGAGCCTCCAAACATACGTAAGTATTCTAATCCTTGAATGAGTTTATTTTATACAGATTTTGCTTACAAACATGTAAACGGTTATAATCTATATCCGAATCTTGGCAAAAGGTAATTGATTTACCGATTGAATTTTTGTTTTTCCTCCGCATTTGGTAGATTAATTACTAACAAAATTGTCATTCTCAAACTTTTTGGGTAGTAAATTTTCGTTCGGGCAAACTTTGGGTTGGAACATGTCATTCGGCCCTGTTGAAGGACTTCAAGCCCAGTTGAATTTTTTGTTTGATTACAAAAAGGAGGAGAAAAGTTGAATTGAGTATGTTTGTTTATGTTGCTTATGCAAAGAAGAAGTTGAAAGTTGAATTTTTAAAGTTGTGTGAATTTTTGAAGTGTTGTGCAATGATTATTGGTATATGCTTGTTGTGAGGGGGAGCTTTTGCTCAACTTGTTTGGTTTGGCATTGGTTAAGGAAAATGTTTATTTTAAGGGGGAGTTTATGCTTTTTGTTTTAAAATCATTATGTGGTGCTTATATTATGTGAAAACTCAATTTTTTGCTTAGTTTTGTCATCAATCAAAAATAGGGAGATTGTTGAGCCCTCATGTGTTTTGATGTACCAAAACTAATCAAAAGATTGGTTGGAATCTAACAAAAAGCAAAGGTATAACTTATGTCATAACCCATATAAAATTGCAGATTTCTTCTAAAAGGAACACTCGTTCAAATCCCCGTTCCTCCCTTGATGAAATTCCTAAAAAGTCGTTCAAAAATGAACATCATCGTTCCTCATGCTCGTTCACGGCTCTTCCAAGTTTATGTTAAAGATGTTCAAGCTATTCCAAACTAAATGATCAAATCGCACACCCGTTCCAAGCATAACTGAAGACTTAAACAAAAGGTTGAAGCACACATCTAAAAACATAACGACTAGAATGAACGGTCGTCCATCAAGCCTGTTCCATAATGAACGACACTGTTCCAATCGTCATTCATGCCTCTAGAATCTTGACTCAAGTTTGTGATCACAAAATGAATGTCTGTTCCATGTGGTGGAATACCCGTTCCAGTCAAAGCCAAGTTTAGGATTTGAAATTGTGAGCTGAAAACAAGCTTTGGAATACAAGTGTCAAACCCGAACTCCCGTCCTAGAACTTAGTGAAGATCGTTCCTCAAAAGAACAACATCATTCCAAGAAGCCATTCATGCTTTTGGAAATTTTGGACTCTAATGAATAAAAGTCGAACGACCGTTACAGTGGTGGAATGCCTGTTCGCGATAGGGGAATGTCATATTCAATAAAGGGAACGACCATTCCAAGACCTTGAAGTCAACAAAAAATTGTTCATTGGTTTCAGGAACGACCGTTCGCGATGGTGGAACGCCCGCTCCTTTGAATTCTGCAACTTTGCAAGAGTGCATTAAATGCAACAACGATTCTATTTTTTTCAAAGGTTTTAGTGAGATATAAATTCAGCGATTTATTGCTCAAAGAACAAGAGACAAAGTGAGATAGAAGTGACAATACATCAAGAACATTCTCACATAGTACCTAAAGCTCAAAAATCCAATTCATGACTCTCATTTGCACTCATTCTTGAATGTCTTTAGAGAGTACCTTGAAAGCTTATTGTGTGTATAAGCCTAGCTTAACGACAATCATTCACATAACTTTGCCATTAATTTTTGGGTGAAATCCTATAAATTTAGAGGCGAAATCATGTCAAACTATTGTAAAAGCAAAATCCTATGAAAACTAGTATAAAAGCAAAATTCGATTATAGTGAAACTTCAAGGAAGTTTTGCTTTAAAGTGGACATATGAGGTTTATGGATATAGCTCCAAACCATTATAAATCACTAATTTCTTTTCCCTATCTCTAGTATATATTCCTTATTGAATGTTTATATTTGTCTCATGCATTTAAGTCACATTTATTGTTCATAGCATATTTGTTCATTATGAAACTTCATTTATTGCTCATTCATTATTGCCTCTAGTGTTGATTTGGTGCTCATATCATTTGGTTAGTTGGAGTTTTGTTTATTGGCATTAAATGTGCTATTGTATAATGGGCTTTGTACATCAATATCTTACATTCAGATAATGTCATGGGCTTACCTTTGAAGATTTCATGAGCTTATATTTGTTTAATGCCATATGCTTTATTCGAAGTTCCAAGACGTGGTCATTGGGCCAAAAGTGGAGCCTTGGAGTCTGATTTATGGCTTTATACCCTAATTGGATCTTTATTGTAGCATTGAGCCTTCTTGACAAAAGTGGTCATCAACAATTATTAATTTATTTTAAGAAATTATTTGTTTTTAATATTGATTATATAATTTTAAAATATATTTAAATACTTATATTGAAGAGATAAAAATAAGTCATTTTTTGTCTTTATACATATCATCACGATTTGAAAATCTATTTTACCAGACATAATATTAAAGATCTTAAAATCGAAGCAATTTTATAAATTTGCGTTACCAAAAGCATTTAAAATTATTTCCAAAACTAATTATTTTCATGCTTAGATAAAAATTGATTAAACTTAAAGCTATAACAATCCCAAAGTAGACCTTTATATCATTTAAAACAGTTAATTGAATACAACTTTAAACATTAAAAAATATTCAAATATCACTAAGGGTGAAAGTCAAGCTGAGCCGCTCACGAGTGGCTCGAGCTCGGCTCGACACTTGACAGCTGAGTTTGAGCCAAGTCAGCTCGACTATAGTGTCGAGCCGAGTTCGAACTTGGTACTACTCGGCTCGTGAAGCTCCCGAGCTTTAACCAACTTGAGGGTTTATTTGCTAGGTTTGAAAGTAACAGGGGCCTATAGAATTTATGATATGTTTTAGTTTTTAAAAATTAGAGGTCCACCCATATTCAAATGAAGTCAAAGTCGATTTGGGAATTGGGATTACTAAATTAGAAGGAAACCCTAACTCTAAAAGCTTTCTCCTTCCTCGATTTACTTTATTTAAAGCCATTTGCCATTCGTCGTCTCTCTTTCGCCATTTTCCCTCTCCTCCAACAAATTGTCGTTCTACTTCTTCTCATGACTCTCATCTCACTCTTAGCTTAGTCTCAGCCTCTCAAATCTCAATCTCAGGTGTTGTTTATTTTACAACCTCTTAATCTCAATCTTAGTCTCAGTCTCAGGCTCTCATCCTCTCACTCTCACTCTCACTCTCAAACTCTCAACCTCTCAATCTCACTCTCGTGATTCTTATCTCAGTCTCAGTCTTAGCCTTTCAATCTCACCCTCGTGACTCTCATCTCACTCTCACTCTTGTCTCACTCTCAGTTTTAGTTTATACATGTTTGTTCTGCATCTTGCTGAATGAGCTCTCATTGTATGTAATTGGTGTTGTATTGAATTTTTTATGCTAATCGAGCTCTAGTTTTTTTAACACTCGATTGAAATCAAGCTTTATTGAATTCGAGTTGAATCGAAGTTGAGTTCAAACTTCCAACAGTATTTCGAGTTTGAGTTCAATTTAGCTCTGTCAAGCTCGATTGGGCTGAAACTCGAACTCGGGCTAGTTACTGTAGCATACGAGCCAAGCTCGATTAGCCAAAAACTCGATTGGCTATGCTCAATTACACCCCGCATATCACCCTGCGGGCTGACATTGTTAATAAATACTAATTAAAAACCTAAAAATTTTAATCACTTCTTTTTTTAATCTTTCCCAACATCCCCGAACCCAATCCATCCCGATCTTCTCTCGCAAACCCAACAGCCCCTTTCCATCTGCACCTCCCCCATGTCTCCCCCCTCTCCTTGCTTCTCCCCTACACCACCCTCTTTTCTTGATTTTTATTTTGAATTTTGACTTTTTTGTAGTTGTGATTTTAGTTTCAAGCATGGTTTTGCCAAATTTTGAATGGGGTGAGAAGGTGGTAGAGGTGAGTTTGACAGATTCAACAAAGCTACCAAAATCTTCTTCTTCTTCTTCGAAATCAAAATCCAATCTAGAATCAACATCAATTATTGGGTTTTCATTTACTAGGTCGTTGATTTGGCTGCTAAATTGGAAATTTGTTTGTGGAAAGTAACTAATCAAAGCAATTATTGGGTATATCTAATATTTTAGTTTATTGTGGAAGTTCAAATTATTATTATTTTTCAAGCATTTGGGAAAATTTAGGCTCCATTTGATACATATATTGGAAAAACTATTCTAGTTTTCCTAATAAAGTCAACACAAAATTTTTGTTTGGTTCACCTATTTCCAAAATATAATTCTAAATTATTCAATTTCTTTTAAACCCCTTAAATTTGTTAATTTAACTAAACAACCCAATTTTTTTTAAAAAAAAAAATTGACAAAAACACCCCAGTAACCCAAATTTACCAGATTCCGGCCACCACTGCCGAAAGCTGACTGGAATCTGGTGTAATAGTGCACTACCGGCTGAATCTGGCCGATAGTACGCTAGAAAATGCTAGATCTTTGGCCGTAGACAGTTGTCAACGACGGCCAAGATATGGTCGTCGTTGACCATCAACAACGGCCTTATCTTTGGTCGTCATTGATGACCAAATATGGCCAGATCTGGTCATCAATGGCCAGATCTAGTCATAGATCTAGCCTTTTTCTGTCAGATACACGGTGAATCTGGTCAGAAAAGGCCTTATCGACGCACGACCGGTAAGATCCAACCGTTCATGCGTCGATACGGTGACTCTGGCCACCCTCCGGCGGTGATGGCCGGCTGTCCATATTTAATGAGTAGGTTGTGAGTGTCTTTGTTAACTTTGAATATTTTATTATAGGGGTGTTTAGTAAATAAATATACATAAGAGGTATTTTATTAATTTTTAAAATTTTAAATCGTAATACCCACCCAATTTAATTTTTTTTCAAGATATTATTCTAAAAATTATCCAATAATGAACCAAACGAAGCCTTAGAGTTTTGTAATTGATTTGTTGGCTACTGTGGACAACAAGAGGAAAAAGGGTGGATTGTGATGAGTACAAGAACTTCATGGGTTGACTTGGCTACCAACGTTATAGCCAAGAAGTTGAAATCGAAAAAAGGGTGGACTTTGTTCAACTAATATTGCCTGGTTCTTCTGGTAGCGGCAGCCGGAGGGTAAGATTGAGTGGTGAGGTGGGATTTGATTGGTGAAGAAGAAGTAAAAAGGAAAAGAGAAAAGAAAGAGTCAAATTTAGGGGTAAAACGGTCATCCCATAATATTTTTTGATTAAGGTTATAACAGAAGTTGACGAAATGGTGGTATCAAATATTTTTCAAAACCTTGAGGGTGGTTTGTTAATAATTCCAAACATAGCATCTGGGTTTTAGTTTCTGAAACCTCAAGGGTGCTAAGTTAAGTAACCCAATATTTATATGAATTTAGCTAGGTCCATAACCTTCTTTCACATCTTTCGATGTGATAGCTCGTCATTAGTTAGATCGTAAGTAGACAGTGAGACCCATAAAAACAGACAGGATTTTTTTATAAATTAACTAATAACGAATTATTACATCGTAGAATATGAGATAAAGTTATGAGATTAGGTGGATCTCACAAAAGAATTGTCTAATTTAAGTGCAGTTTTTAGCCCAAAAAAGTGTTGGGCCGAAATGGCAGCCCAGTAAATAAAAAAGATGTGATAGAATACATCTCGCCTCTATCATGTTCATGTCTCACCCAACGCCCCTTCAATCCTAGGGTTTCTACTTCTGCTGCTCCCTGTAAGTTCATCATCACTTGATCTTAACTCTCTTCCCTTATTTTTTTTTTCCTTTCTTTTTCTTGGTCTTTATATTTGCTTGCCTACAAAACAAGAGAAAAAAAATAATAATTCAAAGTTCTAAATTTTGGCTGCTGCTGCTGCAATTTCATTGACTTTAATTTCGGCTCTGTTTAAACTCTTTCTTCTATATCAAATTTGCTTTACTAATCAACTTAGTTGCCTTTTTTTTTGCTTTATTTATGTATTTTGTGCTTCAATTACTGCTATAATTCTTCTTATATTTATATGAGCAGGAGCTTATAATTTCAGTTATCGACTTTTTATTTTGTTAATTCTTTTTTAGTACAAGGCAATAATGAGTTGGTATAGTCAATTTAATTTATTGTAGCTTGAGAACGGCTAGCTTTGCTTTAGGTAATGCTTTTAATTTAGGGAAGGTAAGAATGTTCAATTGGGTATAAAAAAAGCCTTTTGGTTGCCGTGGACTTGTATTGTCTATATGTTTCATTTTGTGGGTTCAAAGCAATTTTTGTGTTTGTGTTTTTGATGGAAAGTAGAAAATGGGGTTGTTTGATTTTCGTATCCTGCTTGCAGATTTGTGATGGGTGAATAGCTTGTCTATTGTTGAGTTATGAGCTTAATGGAGAGCACGTCTAGTCAAGCTATTGATTCAGATGAAAGTGAAAGGTATTTGCATGTTGAAGGGTATGATGAGCATGAGTTGGCTGATGATGACGACCTTTCGAAAAATATTGTCTTATGTACAGGTGAAGTTGACAAGATCTTGGAACAGTCTTTTGAAAGTTTACCCTCAATAGGAGATGATGTAGAACCCTATATTGGTATGGAGTTTAAGTCAAGAGATGATGCTCGAGAATTTTATGTTGCTTATGGAAGACGTACAGGATTTACTGTACGGATCCATCATAATCGTCGTTCACGCATAAATAATATGGTAATTGGTCAAGATTTCGTTTGTTCGAAAGAAGGTTTTCGTGAAAAGAAATATATTTATCGGAAAGACAGAGTTCTTCCTCCACCACCTATAACTCGCGAAGGCTGTCATGCAATGTTAAGGCTAGCTTTAAGAGAGGGAGATAAGTGGGTTGTCACCAAATTTATAAAAGAGCACAATCATGCACTAATGTCTCCGAGTAAAGTACCATGGCGAGGATCTACAAAAAGTTTTGTCAGTGAGGTAAATTTTCTTTACTCTTTTTGCTAGATAGAATGGAAATACATTTGAAATTTCTTGCTTGTTAGGTGTCTTCAGTTTTTACATTTGACCTGTGATTGGATTAGTGCTTTTTTAAATTGAGGGTCAAAGGCCACTGTTAAATATTAACGTTAGTGTATAGTTTCTTAGCAAGATATTTTATGTATAATTGATTCTCGTATCAATCATTTGTTACCAGTTAAGCAACGTAGTAAATTCCACTGAACCCGATGTTGAGCTAGTACTAAGATATTAAAAAGGTCTAAGGACTTTTACTCTCTGGTTGCCTCAGTTTGCAATTGTGGACCTTTGACCTCAGCCTATGGTGTTAAAATGTCACTGCGGTCTAAATGGTTTAGTGGAAAAGAGTCTCACAATCAAAGAATACCAGAGTTATTGTTGTTAACTGCAACCTATAAAGATAAATCTTAGACTATGATTAATATCCTATTTTTCAGCTTGACACATTGTCTAGAGGACCAAAAGTATCTCACCCCATTGAGTGTATGTTTCCCCTGAGCATTTTTTTTTTATTTCACCCAAGATGGCGCCGTATATGATTTAGTGTTTTACAGGATGAGAAGGATCATGATTTAGTGTTTAACAGGATGAGAAGGATCATGATTTAGTGTTTTACAGGATGAGAAGGATCGGAGAATACGAGAATTGACCCTAGAACTCAACAATGAGAGACAAAGATGTAAACGACGGTGTGCAGCATACCGGGAACAATTACGCATGGTGTTGAAATTTGTTGAGGAACATACGGACTACATGTCCGAAAGAGTTCAAGATATAGTGAAGAACATAAGAGAACTTGAAGATGAGCAACTGGAAGATTCCGTTTGCCCATATATGTAGTGCACTTCTTAGGTAAGAGTAGATATAATTAGACCACTGTACATTTATTTACTTTTTATTGTATTTTTTTTTTTTTTTTTTTGGTAATTCCAGGTCCACTTGATGCTGATTTCACTGCACGACTTGAGCTCAGCATTTAGGGCCTCTTACGTTCATTTGTTTGATTGTATCACATTTTATAAGAATAAGATTCCATGTGCAATTGAAATAAAAGTGGTTATTTAAGCTCATTGGAAGCAATGTAGTTGTTATACTTTAATTTCAACTGTAATACTAATAGTTAAAATCTATTTCAGAAATTTGACAGAATTTGAGCCAGAAACTTGCCATTCATATTATTCCTCGCCGACTTTTGTTTTTCAGATTCTGGCACACTTGTTTGTTTAGAATTTGTGACATGCATGCTATGACTCTAGTGCAACTCTCAACATTCAGGGCACAAAATTACTGGATTTTGTGATGCATCTGTCTTGGTAATAAAATTATACAAAACGTTGTGGTCCATTGCGTAAAGTTTTGATCCATGTGTGGATGTAGGTAGAAATTATTGAAGTTGAGATGGAGATGAATTTGTATATATGGATGTGATATTGGTTTAGAACTAGCAGGAGCAGAAAGAAATGCAGATGCTCTGTGAAGGATGATTGCTAATTGACCCATTATAATTTTCTAATCAAACACTTTTGTTTTAGAATATGAAATTTAATAATAAAAAACACTTGTGAAATTTCAATCACCAAGTCAGTAGTTAACAATCAAAGTAAACCAGAATAGTATTGAGAAGTATACACCTGGTTGTGTGAACTGAAGAGGGGTATTCAGTAAGAACGAAGGGCATGAAAATGGAGGAGTTTGAGAAGAGAATTGTGAGGTTATGAGATTTTCAGAGAGCCATTGAAGTTTAAGAAGCTCAAACCATTAATCATTAAAAAATTCATTTTTAAAGTTTAAAGAAAATGACGATTGTAATTAGAATATAAAAAAAAAAAAAAAGATCGAAGAAGTAAATAATATTATGAAAAATTATTCACAAATAATTAAAATATCATTAATATTAATGACATACAAGAGAATCATTAATTAATTAAATTCTATTTTCAAATTGAAACAAACTAAATTAAATTCATTGTAATGCAGCAAATCCACCACCTTTCATCATCTGTTTAAACTCAGCATAATCCACCATTCCATCTCCATCAACATCCACTTTCTTTATCATTCTCTTACAATCTTCAAGGGTTCTTCCTTGTTTGAGCCCCAGTGATGCCAAAACCGATCTCAATTCATCAACGGTTATGTATCCATCTCCATTTTGATCAAACACATTGAATGCTTCCTTCATGTCTTCTTCCTCGTCTTTCTCATTCATTATCGTCTGATACAATGCTCCAAACTCATCGATGTCGACGAACCCGTCTCCATTCGTATCTATTTTATCTATCATTTGAACCAAATCTCCATCCGGAATAAATATTCCCAAGTTCTGTAAGGAATCACTGAGCTCCTTCTTTGTTATTTTCCCATCTCCATTCCTATCAAACATTTGAAAAACTCTGCGAAGTTCTGTACTNACGGTGTGCAGCATACCGGGAACAATTACGCATGGTGTTGAAATTTGTTGAGGAACATACGGACTACATGTCCGAAAGAGTTCAAGAAATAGTGAAGAACATAAGAGAACTTGAAGATGAGCAACTGGAAGATTCCGTTTGCCCATATATGTAGTGCACTTCTTAGGTAAGAGTAGATATAATTAGACCACTGTACATTTATTTACTTTTTATTGTATTTTTTTTTTTTTTTTTTTGGTAATTCCAGGTCCACTTGATGCTGATTTCACTGCACGACTTGAGCTCAGCATTGAGGGCCTCTTACGTTCATTTGTTTGATTGTATCACATTTTATAAGAATAAGATTCCATGTGCAATTGAAATAAAAGTGGTTATTTAAGCTCATTGGAAGCAATGTAGTTGTTATACTTTAATTTCAACTGTAATACTAATAGTTAAAACCTATTTCAGAAATTTGACAGAATTTGAGCCAGAAACTTGCCATTCATATTATTCCTCGCCGACTTTTGTTTTTCAGATTCTGGCACACTTGTTTGTTTAGAATTTGTGACATGCATGCTATGACTCTAGTGCAACTCTCAACATTCAGGGCACAAAATTACTGGATTTTGTGATGCATCTGTCTTGGTAATAAAATTATACAAAACGTTGTGGTCCATTGCGTAAAGTTTTGATCCATGTGTGGATGTAGGTAGAAATTATTGAAGTTGAGATGGAGATGAATTTGTATATATGGATGTGATATTGGTTTAGAACTAGCAGGAGCAGAAAGAAATGCAGATGCTCTGTGAAGGATGATTGCTAATTGACCCATTATAATTTTCTAATCAAACACTTTTGTTTTAGAATATGAAATTTAATAATAAAAAACACTTGTGAAATTTCAATCACCAAGTCAGTAGTTAACAATCAAAGTAAACCAGAATAGTATTGAGAAGTATACACCTGGTTGTGTGAACTGAAGAGGGGTATTCAGTAAGAACGAAGGGCATGAAAATGGAGGAGTTTGAGAAGAGAATTGTGAGGTTATGAGATTTTCAGAGAGCCATTGAAGTTTAAGAAGCTCAAACCATTAATCATTAAAAAATTCATTTTTAAAGTTTAAAGAAAATGACGATTGTAATTAGAATATAAAAAAAAAAAAAAAGATCGAAGAAGTAAATAATATTATGAAAAATTATTCACAAATAATTAAAATATCATTAATATTAATGACATACAAGAGAATCATTAATTAATTAAATTCTATTTTCAAATTGAAACAAACTAAATTAAATTCATTGTAATGCAGCAAATCCACCACCTTTCATCATCTGTTTAAACTCAGCATAATCCACCATTCCATCTCCATCAACATCCACTTTCTTTATCATTCTCTTACAATCTTCAAGGGTTCTTCCTTGTTTGAGCCCCAGTGATGCCAAAACCGATCTCAATTCATCAACGGTTATGTATCCATCTCCATTTTGATCAAACACATTGAATGCTTCCTTCATGTCTTCTTCCTCGTCTTTCTCATTCATTATCGTCTGATACAATGCTCCAAACTCATCGATGTCGACGAACCCGTCTCCATTCGTATCTATTTTATCTATCATTTGAACCAAATCTCCATCCGGAATAAATATTCCCAAGTTCTGTAAGGAATCACTGAGCTCCTTCTTTGTTATTTTCCCATCTCCATTCCTATCAAACATTTGAAAAACTCTGCGAAGTTCTGTACTCTCCATGATAATATCTGTATAAAGTTTGCAAAACTTCACAATTAGATATAAAAGATAAAAATGAAAAAAACAAGTGTTAAATTACATATCGATGTGGGGTTTCATTCATGCATGCATGGGAAAGTTTGATGTGTTTTATATTGAAGAGAAATGGAGGAGATGATGATGGAAGGATTCTTAGGGATTAAGACGGTTGAAGAAGATAAATAATTGATGAATTGATTAACAAGATATGAAAAATATGTGGTGATGAATTGAGTGGTGTTCAACAGAATAAAGTTTTATGTAATGGGGTTTTTTTTCTTTCTAAATTTAGGGTGGGTTTGTTGAGCAAGTCTTAAAATATGATTAGAGGAATTGGATGGTTAATTTAGAATTTGGAAGATATTACAAAATGGAATATATATTCAAGGACAGCAAAGCTTAAGCTAAATAAAGTAGAGGTTCATTATTAATTAAAGTGGATTTAATGACATCAAAGATTAAATTAACACATGGTTCTTACAACGGCGGAAGAAGTGATAGATGTGGTGGCCGTGGCCAACGTGAAAAACTTCAAAACTTTGTTAGAAATGGTGACAACCCAACCATCCTCAGATTTGTTCAATTGTATTACTCTTGCCATTCATCTTCTCCGGAAACTGAAAATATCAAGTAAGGACAAAAACGCTAGTTCCACTTCCCAGTGATAGCAAAGTAAGATTTCTGAATTATACATATAAAAAAAAAGGTGTTATTTCAATCTTTTCTACAATAATACAAGGGCAAGTATGCACTGTTATATTTTCTACCACTACTTAAAGGGTTACCAGGGGAGGTTTAAATTAATAGTAAAGAAAAAGGGTTTATAAAATAATCTCCAAAAAGTATAATTAAATAACAAAATTCTTCTTGTGATTGTTGTAATAACAAAAATCTCTCTATTATTAATTTTTTTTTTTTTGTTAAAATAAACGATAGATTAACAATATAGTAAAAGTATTCATTGACGTATTATGTTATATATTCTAATAGGACACTTGTTTCTAAAATCTTAAGAGAAATTTTGTATATTCAAAATAAAATAACGAGCAGCTGTGGGCATGTTATTTTGGACCAAATTGTCAACTTCAGATATGGGCCAGAAAGAGGGGCCCACCTCGTCAAAACCCTAACCTAACCCTAATCCTAATTTCTTTGTTCTATAAATATCATCTCCTCCCACATAAACCTTTCCAGTTGCAGGCTGTTCCTTTTGCAGTAATACAAGTTTCAATTCATTTGAAGGGGTGTAAATGGTTTTGTTTTGTTGTTTTGGTTGTAAAGCAAGTCAGCTTCTTGGCTGGGTCTGAACAAAAACGACCCAGGCAATACAAAATTTAGAAACTTGCGACATGGAAATCGCCGGTATCACTCGCCTGAATCTGACCCATCTTGATTTTTCAGGCCCTTTTCCTACTGGCACATTACTTTTTTTTTTTGAATTCTTTCGCTTAAAATAAGCAAACGCACTCTGTCCCAAAACCGTTTATGTTTTAATAACGAATGTTTTGAGGCAATTTCTTCGTTTGCAAAAGTAATTTCCGGCTAACTCGCTCATATGATCTCCTTTCTCTTATGATCATATTGAGCACATGGCCTGGTTTACATCAAAATCAAAATTAAATAAACAAAAAAACAAAACTTTTGTAATTTCTTCATGATCTACTTATCTATATTTCTGTTTGTATTTGCATTAAATAAAAATATTTGTGTTGAATTTTTTAATACAATGGTTTCACAATATCTTGAAGTGGGCAAGTCATGTTTTATTTATCCAGAAGAATGACTTGTAGTTCATGGTTTTTAAATTAGATTGACTTTGTCAGCTACTAGTTATAAAGTTTCTTTCAATGAATTGAGCTCTGCGCTCCAGTGGACGCCTGAATTTTTGACACAATTTCAACTCTTGTAATGCCAGTATGCATAAGCGAAGACACAGACGTTTATTCGACGTTACATAATGTTAGGACAAAAACTCTTTCTTAACCCACTTAATAAGTCACTGTTCCTCTCAGATTACATGGTTGAATTAAGGTACACATTGAGAATACGTGTGTATACTTTGTTGGGATTGAGATAATCCAATACCCATTAAAGACTTGGTTAAGATTGATAAATTTCAATGCCCATTGAAGACGTTTGTTGAGATTGATATATATTCCGATATCCATGAAAGAAATTTATTAATAGGAAAATATATTAAACTACCCATAGAAGAAAAGGCAAATGATAAGTTTGGAGCTTCTGGAATGTCACCATCCAACTTTGTCAATTGTATTTGGACCAATATCTAACCTCATATTTTTCTCTTGAAAATGAAATGCAGCATTTTTTTTAATGCAGCATTTTTTTTAAAGCTTAATGTGCGTAACATTTTACTCACACAACTCCAGGGAAGATCAACTTATGCCTGTGAAATGATGATTGAGGGTTCACACTTGTCTCAAGATTAACATTACTACAACACAGCATGGTATTTTAAAACAAGGGGAAAGAAAATTAAAGTAGGAACTATGAAACACCTTAAGATCTTATATCACATAAACACTATGACAAATTGACAATAAATAAATAAGATGACGCCTTAGTCTTCTTCTAACATAGAGAACTGATACTTCCATTGTCGGAAAGGAAAAACTAAACAGTTAACACATTGTCCTAATATTGAAATTTCCATGACACCTCACTCTTCTAGGATAAGAAGTGAAGAACATTCATAATAAATTCTTCAAAGCATACCATCTTAGAAAAGAGAATTGACAGAAACTTGCAACTACTTCCACAGTTGGAAGAAGAAGAATAAGTAACCATACTAGTGAAAATACCATAACAACAACTTAAATTATTGTATCTCTATAACACTATGAAAATAGATAAGAGCTCCACATACACAAGCAAAAGTGCGTCATTAATAGAATGAACATCTATTCCTTCCTCTTTGAGACTACCTTCCAATGAAAATGGATATTACGTAGCGAAAACTCATTCAGAGTTACAGTACTTCTTGGAGATTGAATTAACAGTTCTCCAACTGAATTCCATCCATCTCTTGAAGCCCTAAAAGTTTTATATAAAGTTTAATAGGCACACCAAGAGCTTAAGCTATTCTATTCAGGGTGTCTGAATTCTAGTGTTCAATGGAGAGGCTCTAGGTAATTCAATCAACATCAACTTGATACTATCAGTGTATGCTTAGAAGGAAAATCTACTAATAAGATGACCTCAAAGAACAAAGAAAATGAAGGGATCAATTTCACAATAAACTTGGCTAGTTTCTCAAGTTTCCAACACTATGCTAATAACATTTAAAATGATAACAGTTTATATGCACTTCAAAAAGGTTGTGCCAGTATACATTCTTCCTTTACCCTTCAGGAGTAATGTTTCACAATATCATACAAGCTGAAAGAAGAGAAACATCACAATTGACTAAGTAAGGTAAGTCACATACGCCACCGAAACCTTACCAAAATCAAAGATAATGTAATTTAGGCGAAGGCTATTCATTGCATTGGTAAACAAATACTGCAGCTGATCTACACTCAACAAAGGTCACAATTTCCTTTATTTGATGATCATCCAGGATTGCACATTCTCTAGCTAAAATGACTTGTATAATGTTAATGCCAGACCCATAACAAAAATATTGACAAATCCAGGGCAGTTCAGTTCTGCTAAAAATAAGTTTGCATATTCATCAGTTAGATAAGAACCTTAACTTCATGGAGAATAAAATGGACTTTCTACTCGAACATACATACATTTGCAACTGTTTACCAAGGCAAATCTCCATCTATTGACAACTTCATAGATAAAACCGCCAAAGAAAAGACTAATCAAATGGATGAAGATTACAATTTTTTATTAACCCTGAAAACTCTGGACCACAATGAACCAAGAACTAAATAAACTTGAAATTGTATAATAATTCATCCCCATCATGCTTAGTTTGAAGATAATTATTCAACATTTCACAAATTCAATGCCCCTAATTAAAGATAACATAATTAAACTTCCAAAAACTCCAAATTCATATAATTGAAAGCCACATAAAACATAAAGGCAGAGATGAAGCAGTATCCAACAACCAAAAGTTTAAATCTTTGAAGATTATTAAATTTCCCCAAAACTCAAAATGGCAGAGTTTTGCCTAAAATCAAGGGATGTCCCAGGGTTTGGGCTCGGGGACGGCCACGACCATACCTTCAAGATCCTTATTGAGCACAACCTGACAGCCAAGCCTCGAGTGCTTGTTCAAAACTCGGGCCCTAGAGTTCCGCTTGAGCACGTACTCTTCGTCGTAGGACCTAGGGGGAAGCCTATCGAACCATTCCTGAGCAATGTTGACCTCGCACTCGGCGGAGCAGGCGTCGATCTCTTCGAGGCGGTGGGAGGCGGGGTCGATGAGGCCGTGATTGATTAGGGATTTGAGGAGAGTGTGGCCGGAGAGCCCGATGATCTCGCGTTTCTGGCCGTCGACGTCGATGGCGAAGAGCTTGACGATTCTGTCCGAGACTTTGGCGGAGGTGGCGGAGGAGCGGGACAGCAGGCATTTGGAGTGGAGGGAGAGCGATGGGATGTGGTGAATTTGGGCGGAGAGCTTTCGAAAAGTGGCAGTAGCCATTGTGATGAGAAAATGGTGGTTCTGTGAGAGGTGTTTGGTTATGACGAGTGATATCAGGGGTTTTTATAATATTTTTTAAAATATCAGGGTGTCTTTGATTCGAAAGTAAATTTCAGGGAATCGTTTTTAGAATTCTTTATTTTTAAAATTTTGGTAAATAGAAGATTTCTAAATTGTTATTAGTAGATATAATTTATATGTCTTTTTTTTTTTTTTTTCCTCTATTTTCACTTATAAAATATCACAGTAAAACCTCTTTATTGTGGTATTTTATATAAAAATAAACTCTATATAATCATAAAAAATTATATTTCTAATTTGAGATAGTTATAAATAATTATAATAAGTTATAATTTTTTTAATTCTCGTCTTAAGGAAAGTTGTCTCTACATAGTAATAATTATATGTATATTGTAAAAAAAATATGCTATATTACATTAAATGTTTAAGATGAAATAAAATATTTATCTAAAATTGCTTGAGATAATAATTTATACTTTAGAGTTGTTACCACATCTTTTAACTTGCGGGTACATTATTCGTTAGCATGGACATTTTCTTGTTGAAGCCAAAACACTTTGTAGCCTCTCAAGCATGTTTAGAGTTTCTTGGTATGAAACTTTTTGTATTTCCGTGCTATCATCCTCATAATTATTTCTTTTCTCTTTTTGTCTAATTGTAGCAATGATTTATTCTTCTGTTAAAGCATACATAACTTGTTGCTCATTTTGATGATTAATGTAGTAAAGTTATCGAATCTGATCACTCAATTCTACAATGACTCTTTGATTTTCCTCATCTAATTCAATTGTAACTTGCAATTCATTAACAATGGGGGTCTTAATTTTGTAATACTTAAAACAATTGACAATTGTCTGTGGCTTCACATCAATAGACCATGCAACAACTGCATTTATAATTCCATAAAAAACAGTTATCTTTATTGGTTCTAAGACACGATTTTCTATCCGTTTTAAAAATAGGTAATTGAAGCGCTGAATTGAAACCCTAATACTATTAAAACGTGAATTATGAAATAAGAAATTTTTGTAACTACACCTCTATTAAGTTATAACATTCTCTTAGTAATAAAATTAGTTAATCTTATTATTATGTCTATTAAGTTATAATCTTCTCTTAATAATAAAATTATTTAATCCCACTATTATGACTATAGAGAGGTTTTACTATATATCAAATTAATGTATTGTAGTTGCTAACAATAAAAATAATAATAACAATTCAATATTATAATAATAAATTATTACATAGCAGCGCGCTAGTCATCTATTATACCCTCGATTAAAAAATAATCTAACATTACAAATTTAACCTCAGATAGAATAACTAAAAAGGGTAAAAATACTATGAAAAAAAGAAAAAAAAAAAAAAAGAAGAAAAAACAAGACATTAACATATATATTTTTCAACAAAATTTTTAAATCATAAATAAATACAATACTTGAAGTTATGGAAGAAAAAATCATTGAATTGAAAGGACCAATATTAAGAAGTTTTAACTTCCTCTTGAATAATATTAATTTTCAAGTTTGTTTTGATCATCATATGTTGTGTTGATCATTGCTGCAAATGCACAAAACACCTTTGTTTGAAACTCGTTCGATAAGTACAAAGAGATGTTAAAAATCGTGTTCGAACTCGATTGAACACAGAATGGCTGTTCGAGATCGTTTGATTAACAAAACGAGTTGTTCATGATCATTCGATTATTCATTCAAATACCTATTCGAATAACTCGTTTGAATCCCTGTTCGAATAAAAAATATACACCAACTTTCCAATTCATGCTCTAAAAGACAAATATACAACAATTTATAATTTATACCCATTTAATTCAGCATTTAAAAACAAACCAGCTCTCTCACTATATTTATATTTTAAATAAATCAATAAAAATTCAGTAAATTAAAATAAATAGCCATCATAAATAATGAAACTTCAAACATGGATCACAACCAATAAATGGATCTTACATAATGTTAAAACCGATTAATGGTTCAAAAAAAATTTGGTTCCATATCAAATATGATATATATATATATATATATTAGAAGCTTTTTATAGTGATACTTTATATAGGAATAGCCTCCATATAGGCATAAAAAATTATGATCCAAACTTGGACCAGTTATAAATAAGAATAAATTTTACATTGTAATAAGTTATAATTTTTCTAGATCTAATCTTAAGGTACTTGTCTCTACATAGTAATAATTATATTTATATTACAAAAAATATATGATATATTATATTAAAGGTTTAAGATGAAATATAATATTTATCTATAGTTGTTTGACAATGATTTATACTATAGAGTTGTTACCACGTTTTTTATCTTGTGGATTCATAACAAGTCGCTACCATTGACGCCTTCTTATTGAAGCCAAAATATTTCTAGTTTCTCAAGTATGTTTGAAGCTTCTTGACACAAAACTTTTGGTATTTCCGTACTATCATCATCAGCATTATCTCCTTCCTCTTCTTGTCTAATTTTAATAATGTTTTTTTTCTTCAGTTAAAGCATATATGACTTGTTTTTTATTTGGATGATTGAGGAACACATTAATATCCATTTGATTAGTGTAGAGAAGTTGTCAAATTTGATCACTCAATTATGCAGTAACTCTTTGATATCCATTTTTGTATTATCTTAATGCTACTAAAATAATGAATTGAAAACCTAATATTACTAAAATATGAATAAAAATTTTAATACTACTAAAACATGAATTATAAAATAATTTTTTTTTTGAATAAAAATAATAATTATTGTCACTATACCTCTATTAAGTTATAACCTCTTCATAGTAATAAATTTAGTTGGTCCTAACATTATGACTATAGAGAGGTTCTATTGTATATATATGTGTGTGTACAAAATTATTATCATTATATAAATTATCATAAATATTTTAAATGTCTACATATATATTTTGTATCAACACCCATAAATTCATAATAGTATTAAGGTCTATTGTAATATATAATCAATACATATATGTGATTAATTTGTTATATATATATATTCAAACAATTAATTGTATAAATATAAGGAGTTGATTAATATTTTCTCACAAGTTGACATTCCTTTGTATTCATGTAATCTCTATTTTTTTCATAAAACCAAGCCTTTCTCAACATTTATTTTATACATTTTCAACCGATATTTGATGGTAATCTTTAATTGATTTTGAGGAGAAATAAGACGAAAGGTCGTTTTGGGGTTAATATATTGAAGAGAGTATTTCAGTCTTTTAGTATGTTACTTTGGTTAATATGAAATGAGGTTTTAGAGACGATGGTTTTGCCTCTTTAACATCTTCAACATCATTGACAATTATTGGCAAACGATTCTTAACAAAAAAATTGGAGTAGACTTTATGAAAATATATTTTTTTATGAAAAAAATTGTTAGTTGTTTGGATAGGAAATAGTATTAATTTACTAAAAAGAGCTTTAATTTATACGAATACAATCAAGGGTCCATTTGATACTACTTCTTCGAATAGAACTTATGAAAGAAGAACTTATTAGAGTACAAATTATATGAACAGAGCTTTTGTGAAAATCTTGATAGTTGTTTGGTTAGGAAAATATAAAAAAGCTTTTTAATATTAATTTACCAAAAAAAGGTTTTAATATTATAGATCAACAAAGCTATAAAATTGAAGAGGGATATTTTTTAAATTTCAATACTCTAAATAAGTTAAAAAAAAAAAAAAAAAGTTTACAGAAATAGCTAAAAATTTAAAATTATGCAATAAGTTGTAAAATAATTTATTTGAAATTCTATAAACAATTTGGAAATGCAACCAAATAGTCTAAAAATATTTCATAAGTGCTTATAGCTTTAAATAAACTCTTTCGGTCAATCGATAAGCTCAACCAAATATAAGCTCTTTCGACCAATAGATAAGTTCAATTAAATATGTTGTTTGGTTGGACTTATCTATTGGCCAAAAGAACTTATTTAAAGTCATAAGCATATTTGAAATTTTTTAAAAATTATTTAGTTACATTTCAAAAGTGTTTATAAGATTTTAAAAAAAAAAAACTATTTTATGGCTTCCAAGAGAATCTCAAAATAAGCTCTTTTTAAGCTTATTTAAAGTGAAATAATTTCCAAAATATCCATTTTCTATTTTATAAATTTGACTTAGATCTACTCTTGTATATTAAAATCCTTTTTATTAAATAAAAACTAGATTGTTCTTTTACATTTTCCTAACCAAACAATTAAAATATTTTTCATAAAACTCATACTTTCATAAACTCTATCATAATAGGCTCTCTTTTTATAAACTCTGCTCGAATAAGTCATATCAAAAGGACCCTTAATTTGCAACCTTCAACTCAAAACAAAACTTACATCTTGGATTCTAAGAGAAGCATTAAAACTTTTGAGTTTAAGTATGGATTCTTAAATACTTTGGACAGTGTAGTTAAAAACTGCTATGTGAGGAGAAGGAATTCTTCTTGTCAAATGGACAATGATATGATTTGTCCATGACTATAATTTAACCAAAAGATTCTAAATGCAAAACCCACAAAGCTGGCCGCTTAGATTCAAAGTTGAGAACAACAAAACCTGACAAACAAGCAAAGGGTTTGATACAATCCTCAAAACCAAAGCAAGAACAAAACTTCTCTTTTATAAATTGTACTATTCTTTTCCCATATGCAACCATTCTTCTCACCAACAACAATCCATAGATTCTGCAGAGTTTGATTCAGAAAAATGACCATGGAGCACCATTGCCTCCGCCCATGTCCAGCCCTGCAACAATGTCTCAATGCTGTCAAAAATAAACTCACCAAACCCTCATCTGGAGAACCTGATACTGCATTGAAACAATCCATAATCGAGGGAACTATTGTTATTGATCATAAACCAGGGCATTCAGGGCCTGGAAAATCAGCTTCTGTGCAGATTTACAGCGGCACAATTGTCGACAAAAGTAAGTTCAATGCTTTTCATAACAATCAATTTCCATTGATAAACTGCTGATGTTTCCTTTCTATGTTGCATATAATAGACACTGGAAAAGGGAAGTTGAGCGAAAAGGCATACCTTAAGAGAAAGGAGAGTCACAAGCGGAATGGAACAAGGACAACAACTTACACAATCAAAGTTAATGTGGAGCCTGAATTTGGAATTCCAGGAGCGTTTATAATAGAAAATCAGCATAAGCATGAATTTTTCATTGAGTCTGCAACCCTCCAGGCTCCTGAAAATCTGAGTATCTATTTCGATTGCAGGTCTTGGGTATACCCAATGAAACATACTCAAACAAGCCGAATTTTCTTCTCGAACAAGGTAGTTATAATACTCATATGCATTAGCTCTATATTATCGCAGGCTTGCTTTTATCACTTTAACTCCACAACTCATGTTTCTATCCTATGCTAGAATTATCTTCCAAGCCAAACACCTTTTGGTCTGGTGGATCTGAGGGAAGAAGAGCTTGAAGACTTGAGAGGAGATACTCTTGGGGAGAGGAAGGAATGGCACCGAGTCTATGGCTACGATTACTACAATGATCTTGGCGATCCTGATAAAGATCCTCAACTTTTTAGGCCTACCATAGGCGGGACTGAATTTCCATATCCTCGTAGGGGAAAAACTGGCCGTAGAAAATGCCAAAAAGGTATTTAGCATTGCTAGTCCATTGCATATTTCTTTGTCAATGGTGAAATTTTGCTGATTGATCACTTGTTTATATAGCGCCCTTTTCTGAGAGACGGACGCAGCAAATGAACTTTGATGTATATGTTCCTCCTGATGAGAGATTTAGCCCAAAGAAACTATCTGAATTTACGGGAAATGCAATCCAAGCTATTGTACATTTCGTTATCCCTGAGGCAAAATCCTTGCTTCTTCCTGAAGATTCCAGTTTTCAGTCATTTCGGGAGATTAAGGAATTGTTTACCAGAGAAAAAGGCCAAAAAGTTGAGGAAGGGTTGATAGAGAAATTAAGGAAAGTAATGCCTGAACATCTTGTCAAAAAAATTACTCATGCAAGCAAAGGGGGTACCATGAAGTTCCCAATGCCTTCAATTGCAATAGGTGTGTAGCCAAGCCTATACAATCTTCAGTTCTAATTGATAAGAATCAACAGCCGGTAATCTGATCTTGCATTATGTTTATTGTTCAATAGACAATGAGTTCGCATGGAGGGAGGATGAGGAATTTGGTCGCCAAATGCTTGCAGGAACTAATCCAACACGAATCCGCTGCATAGAGGTATCCACTATTCTTCTGGAAAATCGTACAGTAAATCATCAGTTAAACTATATCTATTGAACTTCGCATATTGATGAACAAATTACATAATACTATGCTATTACAATCATCATAAATAAATCTAATCTATTCATTCTTTCACATCAAATCCAATTCTAATTGTAATTGAAGTAAGAATAATACATTATAACAGTGTTTGGGGCACACACTTAATGTTGTAGTTTTACGATTCCTTGCAGCAATTCCCCCTGAAAGGAAAACATGGAGAGATTATCAGTTCAATAAAAGAATCAGACATAGAGAACAGCCTTGATGGCCAGACTATTATCCAGGTAGGCATATCTCTTTCCCCTGTTCACATTAAGTTTAAGATGTTCAGAGATGACTTTCAATATGCTTGGCAGGCAATGAAACAATGGAGGATATATATCTTGGATCACCATGACTATCTGATGCCTTATTTGGACAAGATTAACTCAAAGGGTAATGTATGTGCTTATGCATCCCGGACACTAGTGTACTTAAGAAATGATGCGACGGTGAAGCCATTGGCAATAGAGCTGAGCTTGCCTGAATCTGAAGATTACGACGGTTTCAACAAAGTTTATCATCCAGCAAAAGAGGGCACTGACGCCGCACTTTGGCAGCTTGCCAAAGCTCATGTTTTAGCTAATGACTCAGCTTATCATCAACTAGTCACTCACTGGTGAGTTCAAAATATTTCTGCAAAAAAAACTGTAACTGTAATTATCATAATGAATATATCCCAATCCCTGCTAATAATTTCACTATACTTCAATACATGATGTATTTTCCAGGTTGCACACTCATGCTGTAGTCGAGCCGTTCATCATTGGTATGAAAAGGCAGTTAAGTACGATGCACCCAATCTATCGGCTGTTAGATCCTCATTTCAAAGACACCATGCACATAAATGCATTGGCTCGGAGTATCCTCATAAATGCTGGTGGAATCCTTGAGAATATATTGTTTCCTGGTGAAATTTGTATGCAGTTGTCTTCTGAGCTCTATAAAGAGTGGAGACTTGATGAACAAGGCCTCCCAATCGATCTTCTTAAAAGGTATTCATTCTCAATACAAAATCATTAGAAAGTTCAATCCTTTTATCAAAAAACATACTTATACACATTGGCATGCATCTATTCCATACTTTCCTCATCCTTATGGCAATCATCTTTTCAGGCGTTTGGCCCTAGAAAATGAAGACAACCTCACCGGCGTTCAAATTCTCTTCCAAGACTATCCCTATGGCTTAGATGGACTTGACATATATGCTGCAATCCAGACATGGGTCGTAGACTATTGCTCAATCTTCTACAAAGATGATGAAACCCTCAGGAAAGATGATGAAGTTCAAGAATGGTGGTCAGAAGTTAGAAATATAGGTCATGCTGATAAGTGGACTGAGTCATGGTGGACTGAATTGACCAATGTGAAGGACCTAACACGCTTTCTAACAATTCTCATTTGGATTACGTCAGGCCTTCATGCTGCAGTTAACTTTGGACAATATGCATATGCTGGTTACCCTCTGAACCGTCCCACGCTATGTCGAAAATTCATTCCACAAGAAGGGACAATGGAATTTAGTGAGTTCCTAAAAGATACAGACAAATACTTTCTTCAGACATTACCAAACAGATTTCAATCGGCTATTAGTATAGCATTAGCAGAAGTCCTCTCGCGGCATACATCTGATGAACTGTACTTGGGTCAGAGGCCACCAACAGAATGGACGGACCATGAGGAGGTCCTGCACAAATATGAAGAGTTCAAAAAGAAGCTGAAAGAGATAGAGGAAACAATCATGGAGAGGAACAGAAATCCCAAATATAAGAACAGACTGGGACCTGCCAAGATACCATACAAACTTCTGAACCCAGATTCATCCAATGACAAATACAGAGGAGGCATCACAGAAAAAGGTATCCCTAATAGCATATCCATTTAATATATATCTTCAATGTAATTTCAACTATACATTCAAGAAGAAGACTATATATGTTGTAAAGGTTTGAACAATATATTCAATATGATTTCTCCATTATCTTTCGTTTACAACAATCAACAATACATTTTGGTACCACTGCTAACTACTGAACGAAAAGAACGTGAAAAAAGTAAAAAAGGTAAGAAGATAAACGATAGCAAATTAAATGGATTATAACCACATTGGTGTTATCATGCATCACAGTCACTCACACATAACTACAGGGTAGTACAAAGGATCAATCTCTCTGCAACGACAAAAATGATCATTCGAGCTTTAAAACATTGCCTGAAAATTAACATTACAGCACATAGCATGGTATTCTTTCAGCATAGAAAATTAAGTCCATAAAAATTTATTTGAAAATATATCATCTTAAAGAAGAGGATGGAAAAAAACATGAAACTACTTCTGTTGTTGGAAAGGAGAAGATTAAAGTAAATTGCCCAGCGAAAATGGCCTGAAATAGGATATTTGGAACAACTTAAGATCTAGGGTCTGAATATATACTAAGACAATAGAAAAATACTCAAGGCCTGTGAGCAATCAATTTGATACTAATCAAGAACATATATATATATATATGTGTGTGTGTGTGTGTGTGTGTGTGTGTGTGTGTGTGTGTTTAATAAGGACAAACTTACTTCCAATGAGGTTACCTCAATGAGTGAAACAGATGCAGGACCAATTTCAGAGTGGATTTGGGTAAACAAGACAGGTTTTTTATGTTTTCAATACTGTGCCAATGACAGTAAATCACACAAGTTGAATGGAAAAATACAACAATTGACTAACTCTGCCACAACCAAGTAGATAAACTATAAACACATCACATCATGCTTAATTTGAAGATAATTATTCCACATTTCACAGTTTAATGCACCCTAAATAAAAATAACATAATTAACTCCCAATAAATCAAAATTCATAGAATTCAAAGTCACAGGTGTTGATGCCAGATTTTGACACCAACGATCTCGTACGTGCAAAGCGCTAAGCTAATCTTAGAAATTACATGTGATTAACTGATTTTGAAGCTAGGACAAGGTTAAACAATACTATTGAATGCAAAGACCAAGAAATCAATAAGACATGATTTTTATAGTGGTTCGGATGCTTCGAGCGATTCCTACATCCACTGTTTCTTTTATAAAAGTTAGTGTTACAAGAGATTACAAGAGGTCGCGTATAGCAAACAGCGAACAAAGGTACAATAACTGAGTATTTAGAGAGAATATCAAGTCAGTCTCTTTCTCGTAGGTTGTCTTTGCTATTGATTGTTATGAAAGTAAAGATTAGAGATCCCAAAAATGAGAGGGGGAGTCCTTTATTTATAACTGCTAGATCCAAGGTAATGATTACAAGTCTGCAAGTGGTAGGTGTCGTGCAAGTATTTTCTTGCCTCCCATTGGCTGATAACTTAGGAAATATCCTCAAATTATTTGGGGCTTGGACAGGTGTGCGGTCCTCATTTACTTACAAACAAAACTTGAATCTGATGAGTTGGTGACAGCTATATTCTCTCTGTTTTGGGGCGACGAGGTTCAAGAATTTAATCTTGAGAACTTCATGATTATGCCACGACCTGACTTGTCTCCAGAAATGCTTGCTCGAGCTAACAACAAAGAATAGTCACATCTTTACGGAAGACCTGAAGCTGACTGCTTGATCTTACTAACGAACTGAGTGTAAGACGCGATCTAGATGTTGAGAGTTACATGAGCGACCTGACTTGATTGTTTACAAAGGTGCAACGACCTGAGCTTGATCTTGTTCAGTGCTATCAAAATGTGTTCTGAACTCTAACTGCCATTTGCGACTTGAAAACACTTAGAACATTTTGTTGTTAAAAAACTAACAATCATCTTGTTTGGTGTTCCAGCCTGACATGTTGAATTAAATGTTCTTTTTGAACGACCTCTTTAGATGTTATTCATTGCGTTTGACAGCTTTCTTGGTCAATAAAGTAAGCTTTATCTAACAGATGTGTCTTTACGCGCAATAAATGTCAGCCATATTGAAACAACATTCCCTTTTGAAGCGTTAAATGCGGATGAGAGCACATTTAATGTGGAGGAGATAATCATGTCGGCGCTTGACAGTTTTGATAAAGGAATGCGCCAGTTGATTTTCACGAAGCATGGGGGTTACTCTTCGCACGAATTGATGACACGTGGTCGAAATCAATGGTTAGGAGCATGTTCCCACCAAACGTCGCTTACAAAGGAAATCTAAACGTCATCTTCAACCTTATAAAACCCTAAACCCATCCCAAGTTTTTCAGAGAACTCGAATTTTCAAAGAGGAAACAACGTTTTCATGCTCAAAAAATCAGTTCATCCTCTTCCCAGTTGATGCGCACTCAACGATATGACAGAACATCCATCCCTAGCAACCAAGAGGTAAAGAAATTTCTTCCTTTTTCTCTTTTTCATTTCTATCAAAAAAACTTAGTTTTTACAGTAATGATGGTCATGGCGTCTGGTAGACTTAGGTGATGAACAATTCTAGGCAGTGTTCAAAAGAAAACACTTTTAAGAGTAAAAACTTAGGGCACAGATCTTTAGAAAATTATTCTTAAGAGTTTCTTGGGTTTTTTAGGAACTTTGGCGATTATGAAAGAGAAACCAGGGTTCTTTTACTCTTTTGAGTCGTCGTACGAGGTAGATTATTAAGGGTTTGAGTCACCCTTACATGTCGTACCTTTACATATTCAAAGGGCAATGGACATCCCTGAGACGAGAACAGTTGGAGAGGGAAGCTCGCGACCACCGGGCAACTCAGCAAGTCTTGGAAAGGTGATACGATCTACCGTCACAAAGAAAGAGATTTAGAGTGCGATAGACCAGTATGCGATCAACGTGGACGTGTATCGGTACATGTCGCATACTACTCAGGATCTTCTCGAGGGAATGGCTACGATCTCGGAAGCAATCTTCAAATGTGGAGTGAGGATTCCTCTCCACCCTTAGAGCAGGTCGATCCTCGACCACTTCCAAGTCGCGCCATTCCAACTGACGCCAAGTGTATATATGATAGCGGTCGCTATGTATATTGCATTTGGCGAACATGACCTCGGGGAGCCAACGGCATAAGAGCTCACTTGCACCTTTTATTTAAAGAAGAGCAAAGACAAAGATTCATACTATCTCTCCAAGCGATCAACAATCAAGGGAGGGATATTTGGTTACCCTAGTAACGTGGGAGCTTATGAAAACAAATATTTTTTCTTCCAGGAGGACGGAGTTTGTAAATTTAAGGAATCGCTTTTAATTTCCAGATTGCTCGTCTTTTAACTTTAACTTTTCTTTAAATATTAAGCTAATGAACTCTTTGCTTCTTTGTAGGAAACAAAACGACCAAGTTATCGGTGCTAGCTAACCCCAGCCGTATCGAAGTATTTGGTCGACTGCCCGATCAGAGTTGCGATGTAAAGCTGCTCATGACAACTGCTAATCTTCGGAGATACGAATTTTTCACTCCTATCACATACTTGGATGGTTCCAGTCATAAGTATTTCTGAAACAGAAAAAACCCAAGTCTTTTTAACAAAAGTAGACTCTTTTTACTGACGTGTTTGTATGCTGTGCAACACTATGCAATCGAAGAAAAAAAAAGACTTCAAAGAAGTCTACGAGGTTCACATTCCCTAGAATAAATCCGACTGGAACAATTAGAGCGACCTCTAGTAATGTCCTTGTAACGGGGATACAAATTGGTGTCGAAAGGCAAACACCTGTGGAGCGACATGAGGAGGCTCCCCAGCCTGTTGCTACTCGTCCACTGAGGCAGAAAACCATGGGCTCGAAGACGAAGAGGAAGAGAATCATACCAACCAAAGAAGAAACTGAATTGGAATCATAAGGGTTCAAGATATTGCCAGATAGGCTATAACCTTATCAACTATTCTCTTCGAGGTCAACCTCAAAGGATGCTCCTAGATTCTCAACTACCCCCGAGACTTTACAAGGAAAGGAGGGTGCGACCACGAGCACCTAGAAGGGAGCTAGCGAGGAAAAAGTTGAAAAGGTCCTTACCTCATCAAGGCACGACCCATCTGTTTTGGACCTTTTAGGGCAACTGCCAGACCATCTAAGGCTGATGGTCTTTACCTTTCTTGAATGCCAACTGGCCACGACCTTTGATCGGTACGTGACCTCCCAACCTACCGATCTAGTGGCCACTGCTCTCCAAATACAAAGTTAGATAAGATAACTCTTTTCTCTTCGAAAACTCTTTCATGTAAATCGATCCTTTAGTTTTTAACAAACTAACTCTTTATTCCTTTTTTTGCAATCTTTGCTCGCTTTGAACGTGGCTTATAATAAGATGAAGATCAATTCTTCAGGCAAGCTTCATGAAATGAAGAAGGAGATTGCCAAGTTGAAACAAGATCTTGCGACTTTAAACGAAGCTGCAAAAGTTGCCCGCATTCAGGTGAACGTGTACCTGACAGAAAGGAATTATGTTTTGTAAGCAGTAGACTTCCAAAAGACCAAGCTCCAAAAGAAAGATAATGACAACAAGGAGCTCTAACTAACAATAGTGAGGCTCACTAAGGAGTTCTGCCAAAGAGAAAAGGAGCTGCAAGAGAGCTTAAGCGCGAAAATGCTGTAGAAAAGACTCGAGCTGAGTTGTGGGAAAACTCAAAAAAGGAGAAAAGAGCAAGATAGACAAATCTTGAGCTGGCTCATGGGCGAACTACTTCGCTGACTAAGCAGATAAAGCAATTAAGTTTTGAGGTGGAAAGGAAAGCTGCTTACTGGGCAATACAAGCTATTCACAACTTGCGTTGAACAATCCTAACTTGGACATTTCCAACCTCCCCAAAGAGTACCAAGTTCGTCTTGCTTTAATGATGTTTGTCGAAAAGCAAAAAGAACAAGAGTCTGCTCTAGAGAACGATCAGCAAGAAACAGAAGTCCCTGAAAATCAAGCGAATGACCTAGAGGTCGATGATCAACCGAATGACCCAGAGGTCGTAGTAACCAAATTCAAGGGTTCTAGTGCCCAAGGCCAATGATTGACCTCTTTTATGTTCGCAA